ACTGTAATAAACTAGTCATAGAGCGCGTGATTCCATACCGTGTGACTGATGCGATCTACAAAATGTGTGGCTTCTAACAGCTTTGGAGACCGCTTAGCAAGCGGCGAGACCGGGACGCCATCAACAACATCATAGCTGGTATTCGCTCTTCGACATCGGCTTTTGCTCCGCCTGCGCCACCACCACCGCCTCCTCCCGAGCCGGATTAGTTTCTGCTTTTTCTTTATTTGGGGCTTGTCTGGCTGTGCCCCAGCGTGATTTTGTGACTTGATTGTACCCTGTACTCTGTGTTGGATGCTTGGTTCGATACTTTATAATATAAAGCGGTGGGGGGGGGGACCCTTTTTCGTAAAAATTCACCGGAAATACAAAGCGCCTCAAATAGAATAAAAATTACATTTTTCTCTATATGCTAATACCCACTGAAAAAAATAGCGCGCTATAACATTGCTAATAGCACATTATAGCGTATTGAGAATTGCCTCGCTAAATATATTGATCCACAACATCTCGCCAATAGCACACTATAGCACGATATAGCACGCTAATAGCATATTTTGAGCTCGGCGCTATTTTGCTGTAGCGCACTAATGAGACCCCATTTTTTTTGCTGTGAAAAGAAAGTACACCCGTTAAGAACAATAACTAGCACAAAGACCACTTTGCATATGCAAACTAACATATAATACATAGTTGATTTCATAACTGGCAAACAGATGGAATTCACCCCGACAGAGTCATGCATGCCGGGTAAGTGAAGAATTCGAGGGGATAAAGAGTGGAATATCCTAAAAATCACGTGGGTGTTGCTCTGCTGGCGGGCTCAACCATTTAGGGCATGAACAATAGTGGCATATGGATTTTTTCTCCCATGAGAAAAAGTAGTTTAAAGTATATACATTGATTTTTTTTCTCCCCAATGCGAGCTACAACCAGTGGACCTCATTAAGGAATAGAAAGTAGAGATTCTAGTACACATGCATCTCGACTTTCTACTCCAACTTTTTCAGCTTTTTACATCAAACCACATTTTTTCGTTTCAAGCACCCGCCTCCTGCAGAGGATCCCGCTTCCCCATCCGAATCTATTTCTCCTGACATCCGATCCTACAAGGCAAGCGGGGCATCACCTTGGGGCTATGCATTGGCCATGTCCTTATCTCTTCCTCATAGTGATGTCTTTCGCCGCCGTTTTCTGCCTAATTTTTTCCTGGTTTCTCTTTTTGTTATTTCAGTTGCTCTTAGCTTGGTCTTCTCTTTTATTTTCTCTAATATTTTTTCCAGATTTTTTATTTTCCCTCTTTTGATTTTTATTTCATTGTTCATTGTTCATTTTATCAATTTATCTTTCTTTTAACAATGAATGAACATTCCTTAAATCCGTGAAGTTTTTTTTTAAATTGTGAACTTTTACTAATTGTGCAGCATCTAATAAAATGTGTGACCCTTTTTAAAATTCATGAACATTTTTGAGAATCATTGAACATTATAATAAATTGAATAACACTTTATAATAAATCGATTATTTTTTTAATTCGTGATCATTTTCCAAATTCACAAACGATTTTAATCCGTGTACATTCTTTTTAAAAACTCATGAACGTTTTCTTTACAATAAAGAAGTTATTTTAATGATCCTAAAAAAATTCTATTTTTTTTGAGCGGTTCAAAAAATTTCTATTAATCTGTGAGTGCAGCAGAGATCAATCGACTTTATTTTTCCTATCAAACAGTACAGCTATTTTTTTTCTGTTACTAAAAAAACTATTTTTTTCTTCCACGAAGAGAGCGCTATTTGCGCGGCCCATGTGCGCGATCTGGCAACTATCCTACGCTACATGCGAAGAAAAGTATAGGTTGGCCGTTTTCTAAGGCGCCGAGACGCGAGGGGAAGGCGAGAGAAGCAGAGGGGATTCGGTTGCGATGGCCTCCTCCTCCTCGCCGTCGCCGTCGCCGCCGGCGCAGGCGCGCGTCGGCCGCAACCTCCTAGAGGAGTGGAGCGGGCGTGTGAGGGCGATTGAGGCGGGGTTCCGCGCCTGGATGGCGAAGCAGCCCATCCATGTCGAGGCGGCGGTGACCACGGCGGCGGGGGCGGTCCAGGGCGGGGCGCTCGGGGGCCTCATGGGCTCCATCACCGCCGACGGGGGAGCGTCGTGGGTGCCGCCGCTTCCCCCCAACGCCGACCCGCAGGCCATGGCGTCCTTCAAGCAGGCGCAGGTTGCCAACCCTACCTACATACAGCATCCTCCTCTGCTTTTTTTATCTTATTTCCTGTTGATGAATTAATTGTCCATGATAACCGGTAACGATTGTGTGTACGATTGGAACATGTTTTCTCATAATTTATTTGCAATATTGGCTTGTGATCTATAGTCAACAACATAGGTTAAGGCCTGCATTTTCACTTGATGACATACCAAAATGTTGGCCGGACAGATATCTCATGAATCCTAAGTTTTGAAATTTCACATGATGGTCACCAGCCTGCTATCTTGCCTTTCAGGCTTTAGCTGCTGGGCCATTGGTGCAAGCCCGCAACTTTGCAGTTATGTCTGGCACAAACGCAGGCATCTCATGTGTTATGAGAAGAATACGCGGAGTAGAGGACATCCAGGGCAGGTGAGGCTTAGGCATTTCATTTTTATTTGGCAGATTTCAAGGACTATTATAGCTTATATCGTCAGTGTGGTGTCCCGTACATGTGTTTTAATCTTGGCAATGATTAGGTTTCTGGTTGCTAATTCTTTAACCCCAATTAAGAAATCGATACTTGTCACCTTATGCATGACAGACATCCTATTTGTATTTTTTATAGCATGGCAGCCGCTTTTGGTTCCGGTGTTCTCTTCTCTCTAGTGAGTGGAATGGGAACTCCTACTCCTAATCCGGTCGCAAGTGCAATCACATCCGGTGTTGGTTTTGCGGTGTTTCAGGGTGGCTTTTTCATGGTAATGATCTAATCATCTTTGTTGGTTATATTACAATTTGGATTCATTTTTCTGTGCAGTCCATCTTGCCACTAAATTTTCAATGTTGATGAAAGGTCAATTTGCTCTTCTGTTGCTATTTCTGGTTAATAATTGAGTAAACGGATAATGTTTTGCCTGCCATGTGGAGATTACGGTTGCTTCTGTACATTAGACGAATCATGACCAACTTTAAAGTAGATACAGTATGTGCTTCACCAGATCATTATAAACCGGCATTTACCTTTTAAAATTCATAATTAATTCTATTTTGATGGTATGGCTTGCATGGAAATGTGGGGCATATAAAAAAAATTCTGATGGCGAGTTTGCTTGAGCACTTCCATGCCTCCTTTTTTTCTTTCAGTATTATAAACCTCAGTGAATTATCTCTAGAACATGGCCAGCATGTAGGAATCGCCTGGAGGCTGGGGCCTTACAGGCTTTAGGTCTCCAGAAAACAGAAGAGAAGAACCTTGGGCATGGAAGAGCAACTTTTTGTTTCATGGCAGCAGGATGGAATTTTTTTAAGAAAAAAATGCTTAGACTTTTGCTAAATTGTGAGTGTAAATACACACACATATTATGCTGATACTATTATGGTAAAATCGAAAGGGATGCTTCTCTTTTTTTTTCCCAAATCTTCTTTGCTTTGATGAAATTACTACGTATTTGGTTGCCTTGTCATCAACCCACAACTAGCTGATATATGTTGGTCTGGCATTCATATTATGTAATAAATAATTCTGCTTATGGGTATGTAGATTGGGCAGAGGTTCTCAAAACCACAGGGTGTGAGTGAACCTAACTACTATGCCAGGACAAGTAGCATGTTACAAAATCTGGGCCTCGAGAAATATGAGAAGAATTTCAGGAAGGGTCACCTTACTGATCATACCTTGCCCCTCCTTACTGACAGGTAAGTTTATCTAGGTCCAGTTGTGTTCGATACCCTTTTAGTTATGCATGTAAGATGTATTATTTCATTTACTCTACTTCATGTTGCCTCATTAGTGCGTTGAAAGATGTGAAGATCCCCCCTGGCCCCAGATTGATCATACTTGATCAAATTAAAAGGTTTGGGATCGTTCCACAAGAATTTCATGCTTCTAGATCTATTTTTGCTTACTTGAATTTATTTATTTATTTATTTTATCTATGTCTGTTTATATTTCCCAGGGATCCTGGGCTGGCGAAAGCACAGTGAAAACTTGCCTCTTCTATCTGCTGGTGCTTCTTTTTTAGTTTTATTATACAGATAGTACCATCCGGAGCTATGTCCGTCTCTGTTTTCATGATAACCTGTCTGGGCACCGCCACTTAATCTGAAGGCGGGAGTAGTTTTCGTTTGTCTAGTTATTATTAGACTCTGCGTTTTGCAGTTCCTTATTTGATTTCTGGTAACAATTCTTTCGCTGATAACTGATTTCTGGTAATAATTAGTTGCCTGCATCTTTGAGTTCCAACCCAGTCACTCTACTCTGTAACTCAAATAGCAATGTGTGATTTGTTGAATTTTGCAATAGATCACCGTCTTTTGGTAAAAGTCTGCAATCAAAAATGAAATTTCTGTTGAGGTGAATCTGTGGGCATTCACTCCGGCAGCGGTCAAACAGACTCTGTCACCGCCGTGCACTCCGACCCGCCCGTGGGAGGCTCATAGATTTATGACACATTTCATTGCCAAAGTCCAAGAATAGCAGCAAAGCCCTCATCCCTGAAGCTGTTGTTGTTGGTAGCGTTCTGAGTAGCCTTGAGTAGCTTGTTTGGTTACTAGAACTATCTTTTTTTCTTTTGGCTTTGCTTGCGGGCTGAGTTCAGATATTTGCAGTAACCAAACGAAAATATCTGAAGTCAGCCCGCAAGCAAAACGAAAACAGAGATAGTTCCAGTAACCAAACAAGCAACTATAGTTTTTTGGTTTCTGCCGAGGCAGTGTTTCTGCTGGCCCTCCGCATGCTTGTAATTGATGATATGGTTTCGTTGGTAATGGAAAGGAGCCGGGGTCTACGGTATCACTACACCGACAAGATTTTAGCTCGACGAACCTGATCACGCCATTGCTTATAGTGACGTCGTGGAACGGCTGTGCATAGATATTGTCAACTCCCATGCCGAACTTTGACACCAGATCGCTAGGGATCGGAACAGGCCATTGGATCAAATGCATGACAGGATATTGGTCGAGCACGTTGCATAGAAGAATGCCATGCCAATGATTGACCCAGCCGAGTGTTCCCCTTCCGGCGAAGATCACGCGGGTGCCTTCATGCCGCATAATTACCTCGGGATTGTGGTACGTGGACTTCACATTGACCCACTTCCACTCAGAGATATCGGAGCGATACACACCGAGGTTGTACTCCGTGCTGGTAGAGTCATTGGTGTACCATGAGCAAGAGTTTGATCGCGAGGGAAAGATCACGGTGTAGTCTTTGTTGTTGAGATCGGCGCCGCCGAGGGGTACGACGCCGGCCAGCATGACGTTGTCGGGATAGCAGCCGGGGCCGACGCCAGGGAGAAAGCGGAGAGATGGTGCCCCTGGACCTGCCCTGTAGACGAAGAAATCGTTGTCCTCCCTGCGCCCGTGGCCGGTGGTGAAGGGGACGACGAGAAGGACAAAGGCGTCCGCCGAGCTCACAACCACTGGTTCTACGCCTATACAACCACTGGTCCGACGAGGGTAACATATAGAGAACTGCTCCAGTGCGTTTTCGCCTATACAAAGCAGAGGCGAGTACGTAACTACGTATACGAAGCGGAAGCGTGTTTTAGTTGTAATCGGAACATATTATTTCAGAGCGATTCCAGCTCGGAACAGACCTATGTACCTCTAATTGCATCAATATAAACGACCGATACCCTCCTCTGTAAGCACCAGAAAACAGCGTAGGTTTTCGAAAAGCCTTTGTGAGTGAAGCTAGTCCGGCAAATCGCGAGGATGCAGATTTTCGTAGAGACTCTCGCCGGCAAGACGATCTCCCTCAAGTTCGATCCATCAGACACCATCTACATTGTCAAGGCCAAGATCCAGGACCTTCAACGGGGAGCAGCTGGACGACGGCCGCACGCTGGCTGACTACGGCGTCCGTGACGGATCAACCCTTGGCCTCCGCCCTCATCCGCTCGATGAGAAGATGAAGATCCATGTGGTCGAGACACTAACGGGCAGGGCCATGAACCTTGCGGTGACGAGCTCAGATACAGTAAACAATGTCAAGGCCAAGATTCACGAGTGGCATGGCTTTCCCAAGGACCAGCAGTGCCTCATCTTCGCCAACAGACAACTCGACGACGATGACGACGAAGGCAAGACCCTGGCGGACCTCAACATCCGCAACGACACCACCCTCCTCCTCGTCCTCCGCAGCCGGTGCCCAAGAGGTAGGATGAACATCTACGTGAAGACGTTACCAGGAAAATTCTATAATCTTGAGGTAGACAGCGCAGATACCATCTATAATGTTAAGGAGAAGATCTGGTCTATGGACGGCATTCCACCGGACCTGCGCAAAGAAATTCCAGTGTGCTCGAGAGGCAGTTGCATACCTGAACAGAAATTCTGACGGAGAGTCAACGAGATTTGGGGAAGTCTTTCTGAAATGTCTAGAAATAGCTGGTTGGCGTCATATGGTTCCATGGTGAGTTTTCTGTTCCTACTGCTGTAAACTTCCCTTGAAATACGCGCAGCCTAAAGATGCCACTCAACTTCGAGTTGGAGATGAATTAGCTTAGCTAGAGATATAATGATGAACTAGGCCTGGCTCAATTCATGGGCTGCAAGTTCAAAAAGAATTCAAATTTTTCTTCAGTTCACCTCCTTGCTACTTGTCTATAGTTGCCTACTTAATTTTCTTTTAAGACAATGTACTGTTACGAAGGATCAAAATCAGCAGGAACAAACCTGGCAGCAGGCCATTGGCCACCATTAATTATCTGATGGTGCCTACTTGACTTGGAAGCGGTCAACCTATCAGTCTCCACAGTTAACCGTCTGATGGTACATGTATTGTGTGGAACACGAAAGTAATTCGAGCCTATGCTTTCCTTCATCATTGAATGTGCGGTTACGTGCTGGTGCTGCAATTAACCTGCAACACTAGATGGTCGCCATGGTCGTTGGTACTCTCGAATCACAATCTAGAGTAACTCTGACAGTGAAACAAGATCCATCCTCCAAACCAGAAAAATTTAAATATATATATGGTTGTGATGTCACGTCTGGTCCCTGTCTAGTGGAAAAATCCGCAAGAGTCACAATTACGTGGAACCAGTCTTGCACGCAGTAAGACTCCTGCTTGCCTGGAGCTTTCCCCCATTAACTGGAAGATTCCAGGAAAAACGGACTAAAACTTGAGTTAATATGTCTAATTAAGATACATCATTGTGCTACTTCTTTTGCATCATTGGATTGCTTGCTGGCTTATTGCAGTACCACTATATATACTTATGTCCATTTGGAAGCCTGAGCACATGCCGTAGGTTCAGAACCGTGTTAGGCTAATGGCTTCCATTCACTGGGCGCTGCTACTCTTTCTTGTACAACTCCCCATACTGGCCACCTCCAGCGCCCACAGTGATGGTAACCTCACACTGTGGTGCCATCCAGACCAGGCTGCAGCGCTTCTCCAACTAAAGCAATCCTTCTTTGCTGCAGAAACAACCGCTACTATCCTCCCGTCATGGCAAAATGGCACCAATTGCTGTCTCTGGGAGGGCATTATCTGTGATGCTTCTTTTGGTCTTGTGACTGTACTAGACCTCAGTGGGTATGGCCTAAACAGTTATGGCTTGGACCCTGCGCTCTTCAGCCTCAAATCCCTCCGACGTCTCGATCTTAGCATGAATTCTTTAGGAGATTACAGCTACAACATCACCACTGCTGAGTTTGAGAGGCTTGCTCTGCTAACTCATCTCAATTTCTCCAACTCGGGCTTGGATGGCCAGATACCTATTGGCATCAGCAAACTCGTTAACCTTGTCTCCTTGGATCTTTCAAGTCACAGAGTTTCCGATTATGATGATCCTACCTCTGCAGGTGACAGTTTTAATCATCTTCGGGAGCCCAATTTTGAGATCCTGGTAGCGAACCTCAACAATCTAAGAGAGCTCTACCTTGATGGAGTGCAGATAATGTCTAGCAGCGGTGAAGATTGGGGCAAAGCTCTTGCAAAATATGTTCCTCATCTTCAGGTACTTAGCTTGGAGGGATGCAGGCTGAATGGTCCTATTCATCATTCCCTCTCGAGCCTCCATTCTCTTGTTGCGATCAACCTTGGATCCAATGATGCTGGTCCGATTCCAGAGTTCTTCGCAGATTTTCCCAATCTAAGTGAGCTTCAACTTTCGGATATGAATCTTCAGGGGTGGTTCCCTCAAAGATTTTTTCAACTCAAAAATTTAAGGGTCCTAGATTTGTCCTCAAACCCGAATCTCTCGGGGCATTTGCCAAACTTTCCTCATGCAAGTTCTCTATATACTTTGAGGCTAGAGGGGACCAACTTCTCCTCTGCTAAACCAAGTTCTTCTGGCAATTTCAAGCTGTTGAGGGAGTTAACTCTTGACGGGAAATTTCTATCGATGGATTTTCTCTCTTCATTTGGTGTACTTGGGTCTTTACGCCAGTTGAAGGTTTCTCTGATGGACTCACATAAAGAGTTGGGATCAATTTTGTCATGGATTGGAGACCTCAGGAACTTAACGAGCTTGGAACTCTATGTGTGCGACTTCTCTTGGACTATGCCTTCCTCTATTGGTAACCTGAAGGCCTTGAGAAGCTTGACAATGTTTGATTGCAACCTCCCTAGGCCCATATTGTCTGAAATTGGAAATCTCATTGGCTTGCAAAAGTTGGAACTATCTGACTGCAAATTACATGGTTCAATGGCATCTTCAGTGCACAACCTCACAAATTTAAGAAGCTTGTATATTGGGAGTTGTGATGCTTGCGGAACAATGCCAGCTGCAATTGGCTATCTCAGAAACTTGAGAAGGTTGGAGATCTCCGGTTCTGACTTTTCTGGGTCCATACCATCTACTATTGGCAATCTGACTAACTTGAAAAGCATGGTTATTTTGTATAGTCAGCTTTCTGGGTCCATACCATCTACCATTGGCAATCTGACTAACTTGAAAAGCATGGTTATTTGGTATAGTCAGCTTTCTGGGCCAATACCTTATGCAATTGGGCAACTCAAGGAATTGACACACCTAACTATTTTTGGCGGGAACATTTCTGGGAGGATACCAGGTTCACTTGTCAATATAACTCAACTGACAGAACTGGATATCTCCTATACTCATGTGAGCGGTAAGATTATATTATGCCAATTCAAATTATCACTTTATTTTAATTGACATTTTCAACAAGCCAATACATACTGAAAGGAAATAAGGATAGACACAAGAAAATGAATGACTAAGGAGAATCTAAATATTCGGGTGGAAGTAGTGGGTAGTGTGTCATAGTGGTAACGAGGGGAACAGTTTTGTTAGTTTATGACTCGAAACCGCAGTATCAGGATACCTCATGGCCCATCACAGGTTTTTAATGAGTAATTGACCATCGGATTTGGTGGATAGATTGTCAAGATGGTACAGTGGCAGATGGCCATACCAATTTTTAAATTTGAATGATAAGATTTCATTGATAAACAGAAGCTTGCCTTCTTTTTATTATTGTGTTCAGGAGCGATCAATTGTGTATACCCCATGTTCGAACTGCACAGGGAGAATAATAACCTCTGCTCATTCTACAGGTCATATTCCGGCACCTCTTTTCGCTCTTCCAAAATTAAGGTACTTGAATCTTGGTTCGAACCAACTTTCTGGTCCTATAGAAGAGTTCGACGCGCCATCTTCATGCTTACAGCTCGTGAGTTTGAGCAGAAATTCATTGGCAGGCAAGTTTCCCAAGTCATTCTTCCAACTTGCAGAGTTGGTTCATCTAGAAATCAACTTGAACAACTTTGAAGATTCAGTGGATCTTTCATCATTTGGGAGGTTAAGAAAGCTCACTGGTTTGGATCTTTCACACAATAAGTTGTCTGTTATGATTGACGAAGGCAATAACTCTCTGTCTACCTCTCTTTTTGGACTGGATGAACTGGGACTAGCATGTTGCAATATAACCAAAATTCCTAGTTTTTTGACACATCTTGACAGAATGGTTTATCTAGACCTTTCTTGCAACAAAATCACTGGAGACATACCAAAGTTGATATGGGAGAGATGGAACAATAGCCTTTTGCAACTAAATCTTTCACACAACATGTTCACCGGTATGCAACTTACTTCATATGCTCTTCCATTCAGTAGGTCCCTGGAAGTGTTTGATCTTAGTTCCAATAGGCTGCAGGGACAGATCCCTATGCCAGACTTATCATCAGAATATTTGGATTATTCACACAACTTTTTCTCTTCTGTTCTCCCAAACTTCACGTTGTATCTCAGCAACACCAACTATCTCAGTATGTCCAACAATAGTATAAATGGATATATACCAGAAACAGTTTGCAATTCCAGCTTGGATGTCCTTGACCTATCACATAACAACTTTAGCGGGCCGATTCCGTCCTGTTTGATAGAAAATGCTCGACGGAGCGTATTAAATTTGAGAGAGAATCACTTTGAAGGGACGTTGCCATCCAATATTACAAGCGAATGCACTTTCCAGACAATAGATTTACATGACAATAAGATTGAAGGACAAATTCCGAGGGGACTTTCTAACTGCAGTTATTTGGAGGTTCTTGATATTGGAAACAATCGAATAGTTGATACTTTTCCATCCTGGCTAGGGGAGCTTTCCAATCTGTATGTTCTTATCTTAAGATCCAACCGATTTTATGGCTCCATAGATGGTGATATTGGGAATCACAAATCAAGAGGGTACTTCTCTAGCTTGCAAATTCTTGATCTCGCCTTGAACAACTTCTCCGGCAAAATGAATTCAGAATGGTTTGGTCAGTTGAAAGCAATGATGGCCAACTTCAATGGTTCTGGAGATATTGTCCGTGCTACAAACTTAAATGGTATGGCGGAATACTACCAAGATTCTACTGAGATCACATACAAGGGGTCCTACGTGACATTTGTAAGGATCCTGACCACTTTAAAAGCAATTGACCTTTCAAATAATAGATTGGAAGGTACCATTCCTGAGTCAGTTGGACGGCTTGTTTCACTGCGTGTACTGAACATGTCACACAATGGATTCACGGGAGAAATTCCAACCCAGCTTGGCGGTGTGACTGATCTAGAGTCACTAGACCTGTCTTGCAACCAACTTTCTGGGGAGATTTCACAGGAACTCACAAATCTGACCTCTCTAACCACCCTGAACTTATCTGACAACCAGTTGGTGGGGAAGATACCGCAGTCACGCCAGTTCCCCACATTTGACAGCAATTCATTCGAAGGGAATTTGGGACTGTGTGGACCGCCATTCTCCAACCCCTGTGGCGTTTCACTTGCTCCTCCAGGCATGGCACGCATGGAGAAGTCTTCTAATGTGGATATCATCCTGTTTCTCTTTGTCGGGCTGGGCTTCGGTGTTGGATTTGCAGCTGCCATTCTGATGAGATGGGGTCGAATCGGAAAATGGTTTGTTAAATCTGCAAGAGCTTTGTGGAGGACTTGATCTGATCTGGGAGACTATTCCCTGGTGCAAGGATTCTGTCCTGGAAGAGAGCTTATTCCTCTGCAGCAGTCGTTGCTTCTGAAGAAGTACTGTAAGTATAGGCTTTTTATCTACTTGTATACTTTTTGTGCTGTGCTTCATGTATTAAGCCCCTGCTGCACCTTATCTTCCGTGGTGTACGCTATACAATATTGCTTGGGGTTAGATTAGATGGCTGAACATCTTTGTAATCCATCTCCTGTATCTGTTTGTTGTTACCTCCAGTTTTAAGTGTGATCATGCATATGTTTAGCCTGGAGATGAATCTTGTAACCATTATCTTATATTGTTTGAGTATAAATAAATGCCACGCGGCCTGACAAGGGTTATACGCTTCATCAACACTTCTATTTTTTCTCGTAAAGTTGCACTTGCTTCTTGTGTCAAAGTATCATTCCTGGAAGATAACCGTGCTGCTGTAATTTGTTTTGGCGTAGAGTGACAGATGAATCTGATCATCATATTGCAGAATTAGTTTCTACATCTCTTTTTACAGGAATATTGTGTGTTTGCCTATGCCCTGCCTAACTAACCGTGTCATTTTTCTTTTCTTTTTTCTGCCTCCCATGAGGCCATGTGCAATTTTCGTTCCACTGAAAATTTTGCATCTGTTTTAAACTCATATAATTACACATGATAATTTTCTGTTACTCCAGTAAATTATTCTGTGGAGAGGTTACTCCTGTATTTTTGTAGTTCTTCTGCATGAAAACATATCTTTATGTTTTGAATAGGTTTTACAAGTCCTTTGGCTGTTGAGAATCTATTTTCAATACCCAGTGAATTTTGTCTGGAGCGCTGCTTTCCCCAGAGCTGGATGGCGCCGTGCAACCGTGCCACCGTGTGTCCCTCACCCACTGCACTTGCTCTACTACCCATGAACACACTGCGCGGCCAGGCGCTCTCCGTCCTTGGCGCAGCCGCTGTCTCTGTTCTGGTGCCGTTGCATGCAGGGCGGTGCGGTGCGAGGAAGTCGCCGTTTGGTCTCGGCTGCTGCCTTTTCCAAGAATCTTCTGTCAGTCAGGCACCTTCCCTTTAATCTATCCATATGGTCCTCTCGTTCCTGATCCACCTATCGGATGCCTGCCAGCCAAACAAGTATTTTTTTTTGAAAACGGGCAAAAGATTTGCCACGTATATTAATTAAGAGAGAATAGAGTTTGTGTTACAAACACCCCTTAACAATACACTGAAGAATCACTCTCCCGGCATGATGGACCCTAGCTTCTTAGCTCCAGCGGCGACCCAAAATGATGCCTCCCTTTTGATGTTGTCGAGAAGAACCGTAGGCGGAGCGGCCATGTTGTATCAATCTCACACTAGTCTGGTGTTATCTGATCTGATTGTGTGTACATCAGTCTGTCTAGCAGAACAAGAGTCGGATTCCATTGATAGTGCATACATATAGTAGTACCACTTATGTACTTTGTTATGTGGGGGTGGGGGGTAATTTGTGTTGTTTCAGAGTTCAGGATTGTAATCCAATCTTTTCGATAAATTCAGGGGCTAATATGCACTTACTCAGGAGATACAGAATATAGTTTTTTATGGCGAGCGCACTATAGCATGAGCTCTAATATGTCACTAGTCTCTTGGTGTGGAAGTTAAAAAAAAAGTCTTTTGGTGTGAATTTTTTTGAAGCAGATCGTTAATCACGTAATCTAAGAAGATTCAACGATGAAATTCTGAGGGATAACACACATATGTCTACTTAGAATGGATATAGTTTGACTCGCGTTTGCTATTTGTAGACACCTAAAATTCATTCAATCCTCATGCGCAGCCCCGAGGGTGAGATGGGAGATGTTGCGGCTAGCCATGGCAAAGCCTAGCTAGTTAGCGTACGTTTAGGAGTTGTTGGAGTAAGAAGATGAATAGCCATAGGAATATCGGGCAGAGGATATTAAATCAAAGACGCTAAATTATGTGGTACACCTACACGCCAACTGGGCCATGTCCACCATCAGTGTAAACTTGGTGTAAGTTACGGCATTTGGACGTGGCACGGTCGCCGATATCGAATGGATACACGATTTACTTGACCCGCAAATCCATCAAAAGAAAACCAAGAAGAAAACGAGAACCTCAGACCAGTAAACCGTTTCATGCTGATATTTGCCAGCATCGAAACCGCTCGAGAGATGTCGCACATCAACGCAGAAGATGTCTGTCCGGTTCTGGCTGGACAACGGTCAATGGGTAGACCTGTGGGATTCGAGGCTGCACCAATGCCGCGACAACCTTGTCCAACTCAAACAGCGACAACAAAGATGGGCGTTGAGCTGTGAAAAATAGCGGTTTACTGGGAAGTTTGACGGATTCCAGGTCTTCGCTGTAGCCGCGGTCAAGCTACGACGATAAGGCCTGAGAATTTCAGATGATATACCAATGTGTGGATGTGAGGCCGCTGTAAATGTGTTTTTAAGCCCCTGGCGCCTCAGCCATCTGAGCAACAGTCCACAGCTCACACACAACACCACCCGACAATACCAAGCAGACACACGGCTGCCGCCTTCTGCTCTCCGGACAGCAGAGGTGCGTTTTCTATCTCCTTAATTATCTCAATTTATTTGTGTTGTGAGACTTGTCTCTTGTGGCTTAATTAGGCACGTAAAGTCACACGTAACCATTTGCTAAAGCTATTCCATTATGCTTCAAATAACAAACCGCTAGTTGTCAATGCATGTTAGCACACGCATCGATTCATATGATTATTTGTTCATAACTGGTTACAGCCTTGGCACAACGTACTTTCGCTAGTTACATATACCGAGTAGTTCATAGCATGCCACCAAGTTTATCATTTACATTTTTCAGGTCCGGAGAGTTGTTTCATGCGTCCCCCCAAGCAACCGACGAAGCTCGCCATGCTTTTACTGTTGGCATTGCTGCTGCTCTGTAATGAAGTTGGCAACGCACACTGCTCAACTATCCACGAAAACAGCGTCGATCTGCACTCGCTGCTTGCCTTCAAGCAGAGCATCACCAACGATCCTCAAGGAGCCTTGAGTAACTGGGACAACAGGACCCACTTCTGCCGCTGGAATGGTGTCAACTGCACCTCCACGACACCACCGTTCCGTGTCTCGTCGCTTATTCTCGCTAGCCAAAACTTAGCAGGCCAAATTAGCCCCTCTCTTGGAAACCTAACTTTCCTCACGTGGCTTGACCTTTCCGGGAACTACTTTGTTGGCCCATTGCCTGTCCTTGGCCATCTTCAAAGACTACAGACACTTTACCTCAACAACAACAGTTTAAATGGGATAATTCCTGATTCACTTACCAACTGTTCCAACTTTATCAACTTAGATATCTCTGTAAACTCCCTCGTGGGTGTAATTCCTACAAAACTGGTCTTCCTTTCAAGTCTGGCCTACTTAGATCTCTCTGCAAACTCGCTAGCCGGTCAAATTCCACCAAAATTAGACCTTCTTTCACATTTGTCCTACTTAAACCTGTCAGTAAACTCCCTAGTGGGTCAAATTCCTACGGAAGTGGTCTTTCTTTCTGATCTGACTGCCTTGGATCTCTCTAAAACATGCTAGTGGGTCAAATTCCTCTGAAACTAGACTTCCTGCCAAAACTGATTTACTTGGATCTCTCTGTAAATTTGCTAGTAGGCCAAATTCCTCCGAGTTTAGGCTTTCTTCCTAATCTAACATATATCTTTCTTCGATCAAATCAACTTAAGGGGAGCATTCCTGAGCTTGGGCAATTTCCGCAATTGCAAGAGCTGATCCTGGGAAAAAATAAGCTTTCATGTGAACTCCCACATGCCATCTTGAATGCTTCTGGTTCGCTCCAAATTTTGGGCTTGGAATTCAATATGCTAAGCAACACATTGCCACCTAATATTGGCGACCGACTTCCTAAGCTCATTCATCTTACATTGTCTGGTAACACGTTTGAAGGTAACATCCCAGCTTCCCTAGGAAATGCTCAAGGTTTAAAACTGATAGATTTATCAGATAACAGTTTCACATGGATAATTCCTACTTCTTTTGGGAAGCTTTCAAATCTGACTATTCTAAACCTTGAGAATAACCTGCTTGAAACAAGGGACAACAGAGACTGGGAGTTCTTAAATGCACTAAGAAATAACAGTTTCACCGGGATAATTCCTACTTCTTTTGGAAAGCTTTCAAATCTAACTACCCTAAACCTTGAGAATAACCTGCTTGAAACAAGGGATAACAGAGACTGGGAGTTCTTAAATGCACTGAGAAATTGTCGGTCTCTAAAGGTACTATCAGTCTCTTTGAATCAGCTGCAGGGATCTACTCCCCAGTCCATTGGTAACCTATCCCCCAGCCTTGAGCAACTCTTGCTGTTTGGAAACAACTTATCAGGACAAGTACCCCAGAGCATCAGAAAACTTAGCGCCTTAATTAAACTGGTACTTGGTGAAAATATTTAAGTGGTACAATTGAGGGATGGGTTGGTGACCTAAAAGGCCTTGTATCATTATATCTCCAGTCAAACAGCTTCACCGGCCTAATCCCATCCTCTGTTGGCAAACTTACTCGATTGACATATCTGCATATAGGTGAAAATGAGTTCGAGGGCCATATACCAGCCAGCTTGGGAAACCTTCCACTCTTACGGCTGCACCTTGGCGATAACAATTTCCAAGTCTATATACCATCAAAATTTGGAAACCTCCAACAACTAATATCATTGAATCTCAGCCACAACTACCTCCAAGGTGACATACCTCACATTAGTACCCTTAAGCAACTTACTACTTTGGATCTTTCATCAAATAAGCTAACAGGGCAAATTCCTGATTCTTTGGGCCAATGTAACGGCTTAGTGAGTCTGCAAATAGATCAAAACTTTATGTCGGGAAACATTCCAACAACATTTGGCAACCTGTTGTCACCGAGCATGCTTAATATTTCACACAACAACTTGTCAGGCACTATCCCGTTAGCTCTGAGCAAACTAGAGTACCTCATCAATCTTGACCTTTCGTGTAATAATCTAGAAGGAGAATTACCAAGGAATGGAGTATTTGGAAATGCCACAGCTGTTTCAATTGAGGGTAATTGGGGGCTCTTTGGAGGTGCGATAGATCTTCACATGCCCATGTGCCCTACTGTTTCTCGGAGGTCAGAGACACAATACTATTTGGTCCGAGCGTTGATTCCATTATTTGGCTTCACATCACTTGTAATGTTGGCTTACATTGTATTCTTTGGGAAGAAGACGTCACGAACAACATATTCGGTTTTGCTTTCTTCTGGTAAGAAATTCCCTAGAGTTGCCTACAATGATGTAGCTCGAGCTACAGGGAAGTTCTCAGAGTTAAACCTTATTGGGAGAGGAAGCTATGGTTCAGTGTACAGAGGAAAGTTAACTCAAGCTAAAATACAAGTGGCTATTAAGGTTTTTGACCTTGATATGAAATGTGCGGACAAAAGTTTTGTAATAGAATATGAGGTTTTGAGTAGAATTCGGCACCGGAACCTTGTACCTATCCTAACTGCATGTTCAACAGTACACAATAAAGGTGACACTTTCAAGGCTCTAATTTATGAATTCATGCCTAACGGGAATTTGGACACATGGTTGCATAACAAATTTTTGAGTAGTTCTTCAAAATATTTGAGCTTATCTCAAAGAGCAATCATAGCTACTGGTATAGCCAATGCATTGGCTTATTTACACAATGATTGTGAAAGGCAGATTGTACATTGTGATTTGAAGCCAAAAAATATCCTTCTTGACGATGATATGAATGCTTACTTTGGAGACTTCGGCATTGCAAGCCTCATCGGACATTCAAGCCTAGCTACCTCAACTGGGCTGAAGGGAACGATAGGCCACATAGCTCCAGGTATATATATAGCAGTACCTGCACTTTCATTTTGATTGCCATCTGTTATTTGCATTAACAAATAAACTTAGAAATGTATTAATTGCTACAATCTTATCTCCTGACAGAATATGCTCAAAGCGGCAAGGCATCAATCTGTGGGGATGTTTACAGTTTCGGGATAGTACTCTTAGAGATGCTCATTGGCAAAAGACCGACAGACCCTATGTTTGAGAATGAACTCAACATGGCCAACTTTGTGCAGAGGAACTATCCAGATAAGATACTACTCCCTCTATAAACTAATATAAGAGTGTTTAGATTACTAAAATAGTGATCTAAACGCTCTTATATTAGTTTACGGAGGGAGTACATATTATTGATGCACGTCTCCATGGGGAATGCAAGGGCTATATCCAAGCCAACATTGGAGTAAATTGCAAAAAACCACCACAATTGTGGACGCGATTTCACAAAACCGCCACCATTCGTTTTTTTTCAAAAAACCACCACGTTTGTGCTGATAGTTTTCAAATAACGCTGATCGAGCGTTTTGCCGCGTCTGATAGCAAACCTGACCGGTTGGGCCCGCTGTCAGGTGCCACGTGGACATGGGGCGACGGCGGCCGTCAGGCGCCGTTAGACGGCGTCGCACAAAACCTAACGACCCGATCCAGAGCATCCTGTTCCCCCTATCCTCCCCCGATTCCCCCCCTCCCCCCATGGCGACCGGCGGCGGCGGCGGTGACGACAGGGACGACCCCCACCTCTCCATCCTCGATTCCGCGGGCCTCTCCGCCATTCGTAGCTCGCCGACGGTGCTCCCTGCTCCTGCTGGCCCTGTTCGATCCGCCATTGTCGGCGTCGATGAGCGCGGCGAGGAGGTCAGCAGATTCAAAGCGAGCTCCGACGACCTTGAGTCCAGGGCGGCGGCCAATCTGGCCCAGGTGTGGAAGGCCAATCCAGGGCATAGCCATCAGTACACATCCGGCCTTGGTGGCGTGGAGTGAGTTTTTCCCCCTTTCCAGTTATTTGCATTGCGATTCTGGTAGTGTAGGTGAACAACTGATGTGATTTAGGTACTGTAGTTATAAGATTTCCTTTGTTTGCAGCTGAACGTAGGAATTAGGGCAATGCAATTAGGGTTTGTAGCTCAATTAAGGAATTAGGGTTTGTAGTTGTAGAATTGTTAACTGAATTGTAGCTCAATTAAGGAATTAGTTTTTCAATCCAGGAGTTAGGGTTTTAATTGTGCAATTGGTGTTCAATTTGCTATGAACTGAATTTTCTTAACTGAATTATCTTAACTGAATATGTTGTTTACTTACTTTTGCTGTGAAACAATAGGGTTTTAATTGTTAAATGAATTCTCTAATTTACTGAATTAGCTGTGAAATAATTGGGTTTTAATTGTTAAATGAATTCTCTAAGTTTACTGAATTTGCTGTGAAACAATTGGGTTTTAATTGTTAAATGAATTCTCTAAGTTTACTGAATTTGCTGTGAAACAATTGGGTTTTAATTGTTAACTGAATTCTCTAAGTTTACTGAATTTTCTTTTAACAATTGGGTTTTAATTGTTAACTGAATTCTCTAAGTTTACTGAATGTGCTATGAGCTGAATTTTCTTAACTGAATATGTGGTTTACTTACTTTTGCAGTTTGGATGAAGATGAACCTTGGGATCTCAGGTTCCATTTTCAAGGTTGTGACAACCTGGAAAGGACCATATGTGAATCTGATATCACATACATCAATATGTTAGCTATTATTGGGATTGAGGGGTATGATCAGAAGGACTCAATGTATTATGTGAAGCAACATGGTGTGGGAATGGCAGGCATGAAGCAAATCAAATCTGAGGAAGATGTTGAAGAAATGCTAATATTATATGAGGACAAGAGGTGTGTCAATGTCACAGTGATGAAAGGAAGAGAGTCTGACATGGAAATGAACATTGGAGATGGATGTGAGCAGCAGATTCCAATTTCTGAGATTGGTTCTCCTAAGGTATATAGTGTAGATGATGCAGGTGTGATATATCAAACTCAGACCTGTGAACCACAGCCAGAAGATTCTTATGGTGAATATCTTTTCACACAGGAGAGTTGCAATGTTAGAAGTGGGAAGGTCACAGCAGGTATCAAAGTATTAGATGACTTTCTTAATGAGTTTGCTGACATACCAGTAGTGCATGAAGAAGATTACATGAAAGAGGACAAGGAGGAAGAGGTGCAAGAGGAAGAGGAGGAAGGAAATGAACAACAAGAAGATGAGCTAGAGGAAGAGGAAGATGAAGATGATGCAAACTTATATCAGAAAATAAAAGACTTGAAGAGGAAGAGGGTTTTTGAAGGTGATTGTGAGCCAGAAGACTTATTCTGTGAGAATGAGGAGGAGGAGGATGGAGAGGGGTTTGTTCAGGCACCACCTATGCAGAAATTGCCTGTTAGAAGAGGTCCAACAGATAGAGCACATTGCAGTTCACAAGCTAAACTTGAGGGAGACTACATTCCTATATCTGATGAAGATATGGATGAACTTTATGTTGATTCAGGTGCTGAAGTAGTGGTGCATTGTCCCACATCTGGAAGAAAGTCCAGGGCAAAAAAGAGGAAGTCCAGGATATGGTATGATGAGAATAGACTTGTGCCAGAACAACAAATATGTTGGCATATGTGTTTTGTTGATGTTTACCAATTCAGAAGAGCACTAGTTAACTTGCATGTGACACAAAGGAGGAACTTCCATTACCACAGGAACAACAAAGACAGGATCATAGTTGATTGTCTTGAGGAAGGCTGCCCCTTTCACATGGTTGCATCTGTGGTTGCAAATGAGAAAACATTCAGCATTAGGAAGCTGCAACTAGAGCGTACTTGTGCTCCAAGTGATGAGAATTGCAAGGTTCCTGCTAGGTATGTGGCCAAAGCTGTTGAAGACTGCTTCATGACTGACCCCAGAGCAGGTATTGAGACTGTCATAGACAAGACAAAGGAGAAGTATGGTGTGGAGGTTGGAAAGATGAAGGCTTATAGGGCAAGGCAGCAAGCTTTGAATGTTGTGCAGGGTGACCAGGAAGCACAATATACTAGAATTACAGACTATCTGCAAGCTGTTTTGGACACAAATCCTGGGAGCGGATGCATTGTGACAACTAGGGTGGTGAAAGAGCATCCAAGCAAGAATCCAAGATTTCATAGACTTTTCATTTGTCTAGCAGCTCAAAGGGAGGGTTTTCTCAATGGATGTAGACCTTTCATTGGTATGTGTTAGCTCTCTTATTTCTCTTTTACCTACACACTATTGCTATGTTTCTAAGTTTTATTTTTTTAGGTCTAGATGGTTGTTTTGTGAAGTTAAACACAGGTCAACAGATCTTGGCAGCTACTGGCAGAGATGGAAACAATAATATATTTCCTTTGGCCTTTGGAGTAGTTGAGAAGGAGGACACCCCTACTTGGTGCTGGTTTTTAACTCAACTCAAGATTGTTCTTGGTGGTGAATCAGGACAATTTGGCAATTACACAATAATTTCAGACAGGCAGAAGGTAATGTCCATAGCACATTCCTTGAGATTTTCATTGCACACCATAGTTCTTGTTGCACACCATAGTTCTTGTTGTACAACTTAGTTATAGCAAACTTAATTAGTATTTTCATTTCTGAAACCAGGGTCTGCTTAATGCCATTGACCAAATATTTCCTAACTGCCCTCAAAGATATTGTTTAAGGCATATTTATGCAAATTTCCAAAGTGCTGGATTTAGAGGAGATGATCTTAAACAATATATGGATGCAGCAGCTTATTCTTACACTAGGAATGGGTTTGAAGAAGCAATGGAAGAAATTAGAAAGGAAAGTGAGGATGCTTGGGTCTAGCTTAAGAAAATTCCTGTAGAAACATGGGCTAGATATGCTATGGACACCAACTGTAAAACTGATCTAGTAGTGAACAACATTAGTGAGGTGTTCAACAGGATGATTTTGGATATCAGGGGCAAACCCATTAAAACAATGGTTGAAGGGGCTAGGTCCAAATTGATGGTGAAGTTCAATGAAAAAAGAAGTGGGGGGCAGAGTGCTAGATGGACAATAACCCCAACATATACAGAAATGCTAGAGGAGTCCAAAGAATGGGCTAGGAATTGCAAGGCTTTGATGGCTGGGCCAGATCTATATCAAGTAAATAGTGGTGAGAAATCATATGCAGTTGACTTGAAGAAGTGGACATGTGGCTGCAGAAAATGGGACATGAGAGGTGTACCATGTAACCATGCTGTCTCTGCCATCTACAAATCAAACCAGCAGCCTGAAGATTTTGTACACCAGTTCTTCAAGAAGCCTATGTACTTAGAAACTTACAAGCCAATGATTTACCCTGTTCCTGGACCTGACCTATGGAGAAAACAGATTCAAGAGACATAGACCCCCCTGTGTTCCATAGGAAGAAGGGAAGAAACCAGACTCAGAGAAGGAAGGGCCAGTTTGAAGTACCAAAACCCAAAGACACTTCAAGAATTGGAACTATAACTTGCAGCAACTGTGGAAAGCAAGGGCATAGGTACACAAATTGCGGTGATCCTTTGAAGCCAGCACTTGCAGCTAGGAAGAACAAGCATAAGGTCCTCAATTTAATAGCTTTTGCATCAAATTTATCTTTTATATCTTAATGAACAACTAATGCACACCTTTGTTCTATTTAAATTTTGTATCAGGAGAGAAGATCTGCCCCTACAGATGCAAGAGCTCCAACAGCAACATCTGGTGGAAGAGTTGCAGCTGAACAGCCTGCTCCAACAGCTGCTGCAAGTTCTAGGGCTGCATCATCTGCTCCCAGGCCTACTTCTGCTGCTGCTGCAAGAGCCTCTTCATCAGCAACAACAGCCAATGCAGCAACTGCTCCCAGGCCTACTTCTGCTGCTGCTGGAAGAGCCTCTTCATTAGCAACAACAGCCACTGCATCAACTGCTCCCAGGCCTACTTCTACTGCTGCTGCAAGAGCTTCTTCATCAAGAGCTAGATCTTCATTTGCTCCTCCAAGGACTGCTACTTC